GTCTAATACATTACTTAACACCAACCAATATCAAAATGAAGGAAAAAGGCCCAAGACTCAAACTTGGAGTCCAAAACCATGACCAAAGTCCATATCTAGAACATATAGGACTTAAGATACCACCATGATCCATAAAGTTGCCAACTTTATGGATTCCATGCATGCTAACCAACATAAAAAGCCATAAAATGCATGGAAACTTAGATCTAGCAAGCAAGGAAAGGAAAGGCATGAACTTGAAGACTTACAAAGGTCCAAAAGCTCCTCAACTATCTGATGAAGCAACCAAGATGTCAACAAATGCACCACCAATGAACTTCTTCTCCTTAATGTGCTTCAAAGGACCCAAATACTCTTGAAAAACACCAAGAATGATCAAGAACTTCAATGGGGGCCGAGATTAGGGTTTCCAGAGGTGTTGGGAGTGAAATATCATCTTATACCTTTAAATACCTGAAAATTAGGGTTTTAGTGCATCAGACGCTCCTCACGTCGTGAACACTCCTTGTTCACGTCGTGAGCCTTAAATGAACTTGGTCAACAAGTCAACGATCACTCACCCGGACTACTCCAAATTCAAACGGCCATAACTTCTTCGTTTCAACTCCGTTTTTGACGTTCTTTATATCCAAGGAAAGGTGGCGAGAATCTCTACACATCTATCAACTCATTCTCACCTCAAAACCTTCCGAACGAAAATCCAAAATTCATAAAGAGCTTGAACTCCCACTTTACCGATATACCCCTTGGCTCCAATGTACAACCCACACTCCTGGATTACCTCAAATACATTATTTGTACCCAAATGGATCTAGATCTCTCTTTTCCAAATGCCCTAAGCCTTATGATCACCTATCTTCAGGCCACAGTCCCGAATTAGGAAAGCGATTCGGAACAGGGCGTTACATAAATGTCTATTGTAAATAAAGATCTTAATTCGCCTGCTTTGGTGTATAGATCGACATGGTGAGAACGCGTAGCGAATTAGGAAACACTAATGGAAACCTGCAGCCTAAGCCACGTGTGATTGAGCGTGCATCAGAGGTAGCAGCTGCACCCGAACCAATCATGATGACAGGAGTCCAAGCAATGTTTCGGGCTATGATGGTCGAACAAAGGGAGGATATGGGACAAATGTTGCATAGTAATAGGGATGAACGTACTGTACTAGTTTTGCAACCTGAACTGAATGAGGGACAGTTAGAAAAAGGAAACTATTGTAGAACCATTAGTCAAGCCGAACCACAAGTGGTTAGAAGAAATAACCAGGATGAAGGAATTGAAAGGAACAAATGCAAGTATAAAGACTTTACAACTTGCAAACAATTAACTTTTACTGGGAAAGAAGATCCAATTGGAGTTATGGATTGGATATTTGATATGGAGTTAGCTTTCATAACATGTGGTTGCAAAGGCAAGCTACAAACCACTTATGTTGTTCGTCAGTTTAGGGGTGGGGCTATTCGTTGGTGGAACACTTTGGGAAAGACCATAAGCCCCAATGAGCCACTACAACTGACATGGGCAGAATTCTTGGTACACTTTAAATGCAAGTTCTGATCAGCCCAAAACATGCTAGAGCGAGGGAACCAGTTTTTGACGTTGAAAAATGGCAACATGTCCATTGATGAGTATACCAATGCCTTCACAGACAAGATGGAGTTTTCTTTGCGCATCATCCCTGACGAGCTAACAAAAATCGATAAGTATACGAAGGGACTACCATGGGAGTACATTGTGCCAATACGCCAGACACCTACTCTTGAGGTGGCCATCTGAGCTGCTAAGTCTGTTGAAGAAATGATCTAAGACAGAACCGCCAACGAGGTTGAAGTTGGAGAGAAAAGGAAATTTGAGGGATCTTCAAGGTCCAACAAGAAAAGCAGGTTCTAAAAGTCAGGTTCTAAGAAGTTTAGAGGAAGAGGAGGAGGAGAAGAAAAATAGTGTGAGAAGTGCAAAAAGAAACACTTTGGAAAATGTGGCGAGAAGGTGACTTGTTTTAAGTGTGGGAAGATTGGGGATTACGCCAACGAATGTACATCAACAAGAAGGTGTGTTATGGATGTAATGAAGAAGGACATATTTCTAGGGACTACCCGAAGAAGAAAGAGGCGACAAGGCCTAATGTTCCGCCAAGGCCAAAGACAAGAGCATTCCAGATGATCCTGGAAGCAACAATGGATGAAGCAGATGTCGCTTCAGGTACCTTTCTTGTAAATCGATTGCCTGCCAGTATATTGTTTGATTGTGGAGCTAATTACTCCTTTATATTGCATAAATTTGGTGGAAGACTAGCATTGCCTGTAAATAAACTTGATAATGTTCTAGTTGTAGAAGTTGCTAGTGAAAAATTCGTACATGTTAGCAATTACATTAAAAACATCATCATCGACTTGAACGATAATAAATTCCACGAAGAGTTGTTACCCATTGAGTTGAACGATTTCAACATAATACTAGGAATAGATTGACTTAGTGCGAACGATGCCGAGATACTACGCAGGAAGAAGATGGTGAGAGTAAACCTACCTGGAAAAGAGTCGTTATGGTGTACGAGTATAAACGTAGAGTACGTTCTGGAATCATTTACCTGATGAAAGCCAGAAAGTGTTTGTCCAAAGGATGCACATCATACTTGGCATTTGTGATCGACGCAAAGAAGGAGAAGAAATAAATGCAAAGGATACCAGTGGCGTGTGACTATTCGGAGGTCTTTCCTGAAGATCTTCCTGGATTGCCTCCTGATAGACAAATAGAGTTTCAAATAGACTTATTGCCTCCTGATTTGATGAAATTAAAGAACTTAATTATTGTGGGTTGAAAACCCTATGTGCTCACCAGGCTCCCAAGCTTGACCCACTCAGTTTCTTGTATTACAGATAGTGGTATAAGAGCACCAGTGTGATGATCAGAAGAGAAATTTATAAGTTATATACCAGTAGAATAATAGATGTTGTAAGACTATGTTATTTCCGTTTATGCTTATGTACTATATTACCGATGAAATCCCAACGTTTTTAATATAATTAAAATACATTTCTTCGGAAATGCTTTGATAATATGTTTATCATATTTTGGGAACAAATTTCGCAATATTATTCTTCAAAAGGATACTCTGGTTTTTAAATAAAGCATAAACAAATCGGTCTTTTTTGGCTGTGAAATTGGGGATGTCACACCAGCCGATCCTCAGTCTACCCTTCTCCCTCATGGTGCTCCATTTCATGACCCAAAATTGTTTCGACAAGTGGTAGGATCGCTTCAATACGCAACAATTACTCGTCCCGACATCGCATATGCAGGCAATCGGGTGTGCCAATTTATGCACTTACCAACAGATCTCCATTGACAATCTACAAAATGATTTCTTCGGTATTTAAAAGGGACTTCTCATCATTGTATTCACTTCACACCAACCACAACACAATGTCTTCTAGCATACTCTGATGCCGGGTATATTTCTGATAAGGCTGACTGTCGATCACAATATGGTTATGCTATCTTTAATGGCTCTAACCTTATTAGTTGGACTTCAAGAAAATAAAGAGTTGTTACTCGTTCCAGTACCAAAGCTGAATATATATATATATATATATATATATATATATATATATATATATATATATTGCCTATACAACCATATAACTTTTATGGTTAAAGCAACTTATCACTGATCTCAATGCTCCTATTCATCAGCCCAATTTGTTGTTATGTGATAATGTAGGCACAATCTTCATGAGCAAAAACCCAGTAATCAATATAGTACCTAGTCCAAACACATTGCATTGGACTTTCACTTCATTTGAGAACAGGTTGAACCCGGAGTACTTAAAATCTGGCATGTGTCTTCTATGGACCAATTAGCTGATATCTTCACTAAACCACTACCAAAGGATCGCTTATCTCTTCTTCGAACCAAGCTTGAAGTTGTGTGTGTGTGGGGGGGGGGGGCTAACAACGTGTTAAATACATTCAATAATATTATAGGAGTTCTCTTTGAACTCATCAACCCAATATTTCTTAGTCTTTTGTATATAGTTAGATAGTTCCGTATTTTTCTGATTCCTCTGGGTATAAATACGTTTGTAACTCTCTTTATCAAATACAATGAAATACATCAATTATTACTCTTTATAAAAATGAAAGTTTTGACTAAACCTTAAAAAAAATACATAAGACATGGAGCATTTTTACACTTTTGTCATGATTCAATTGGGAAACCGTTTACGTGGAACCATTGGACCATTTGTGTAATTTACTTGCTCTATTTTAAACTAGGCAAATGCCCGCGCGTTGCGCAGTGGGATAATTATGTAGTTTAATATGGTTATATATGGTTTAATGTATTGTGAATAAGCCATACATAAAACTTGTATACGATTAAATAGCATGTATATTTTTTGATTTACACATTTTTTATCATAATAAATAATGACATTTTTTTACTATTAGTTTAAAATTTTAAATGTAATTTTTATATACACATTAGTATCTAACGTAATTAATTGATAATTGATTAGATATGGATTCTCATTTGTGGTCGTCTATTTATGTTGAACCTCATAAAAATGCATATTTAATGACTTTTGTTAGTTTTACTATTGAATAGAAAATGGTGCCGTATTTTAAGTAAATATAAAAAATCTCATTATCAATCTATTTTAAGATAGTGACATATTTTAAGTTAATATAAAAAATCATATTCTAGAACTAATGAAAAAGAAAAAACGGAGCCAAAATTTTTAACTATAATAAAGTTGATTCCAATTACCAAGTGCTCAATCGAAGATAATATCATTCAATAAACATCATAAGATATTACGTTATATTCAAATTACGGACATCATTTTTGTAAGAGTCATTCAAAATATATGAGACTATAGTGCCTAATACAACAATGTAATAACCAAATGACCCTAACATATTTTAAATGAAATATAATTATAATATATTATCTATGCAACTAAATTTCTGCACAACATGTGGGATTCGTCTACTATATGGTATTCTTATAATATATTATATTATAGTATAAACATTATATTTGGAAAACCACTTTGAGTTATATTGTAGTCTATAACATTAAATTTGTGATGGGCTGTATTTGACACACATTTGTGTATTTATATATATATATATATATATATATATATATATATATATATATATATTATATATATTTAAAACAAATCTTATATAAACATCCAACCTAAATATTCATCTTCAAGTTTTCTTTCTTCGCCACGTAAACAAACTTTTGTTATAAAGCCAAAAATGAAATAAAAGACACACTTAATTGTATGATCATGATATATTGTATTTTGATTGAGGCTTGTACAAAACATGCATGAGCATATATTATTAATTTATCTCTTGTTTTGCGTAATTCGAATAAGATAGCTTCAAATCCAACGTATCAAACGGATTACCCATTTACTAAAGTCTAAAACCCAAAAACTCAAACATGTTCTAATACCATACAAATACATGATGTTTTAGCAAATTATTATCTCGTATGAATTACCATTGATTATGTGTGATTAATTATTAAGAAGATGAAAAAATTTGGGGGTTTCAATTGCATGAGGTTTTAGCAAATTATTGTGGGGTTCAAATGCATCACATAAAATGCAAGTGTAAGATAAGCGATCCCAAACACCCCTCACTCTTTAAATCTATCGGTCATTATTACGCGTATACAGGACGGATACAATCCTAAATCACCATCGATATCTTCAAGGCCTTTCTCGCATCCCTTTACTCTCAAAAATCTTTTAGAACCACCGAGCCCCGCCGCCATTTCTACAGCCGCCGGTGCCGCTGGTAAGCGTTAATGTTATCGTAAACGCTCACATGGGAAGGAACTACTGGATGGATAGAAGCTTTTAGGTTTCTTTTGCTAATTCCCTGTTTTTTGTCATATTCTTCGATTTCTAGGGTTTCGTAATTGATCAAAATTTGCCAAACTTTTGGTACTTGATTCGATTATACATTGATTTTTATTTTCTTGTTTGCTCTTGTGTATTATCGTATTCCGATCTGTGCCTGTTGACCTCGAATTACGTATAGTTCCGCCTTCGTTACAAAAAAGTAAAAGGATTGAGAATTTTTTAAATTTCTAGGGTTAGGGTTTTAGAGAGGTAAAATTTTGTTTTCTTTTATATATGAACAAGTATATGGCGGCAGGAAGACATGGAGGATACCGTGATAACGAATTTAGGGAGCGTGAATCTGATATCGATGTGTCTAAGCGGGAACTTTCTTATTCTAAAGGGGACTACGACCGTGTAAGGAATGGTAGTAACCAGGGTTATGAGAGGGGTAAGAATCTGGTCCGCCATAGTAGAGGCGGTGGTAGGGCTAAAGAAAGGGAGTCGGTGAATGGCGGTGGTGGTGGTTATCGGAGTTATTCAGGAGGAAGTGGCGATGGTGGAGGGTCAAGGCATGGTGATTATGGCCTGAGAGTTGGGGATCGTGAACCTGGGGAGTTGTCTAGTGAGAGTGGTTCTGATGAAGGTGTTGATTTGGAAATCAATGGTAAGAACAATGATGATTCTAAAATGGAGAATAATTCCCAATCTTCTTTGTATAGCAAGAAGAGAAAGTTCTCACCTATTGTTTGGGACAGAGATGATAAGGAAGCTAATACTACCCTTACCCTCCCTCCTCCACCTCCAGTTCCTAAATCACACCATAGATCACCTAACTTTGTTCCTCCAGATGTACAAAATGCAGAAAGTAACAAGCTTCAGAGTCCACATCAGTCTCCAGGTAATACTCCAGTTGATATTGGGAAGCAAAAGCATGATTCTTCTGGATTTGAACCCCGTGTTGGTCTATCTTCTTCCCCTGTCCAGGAAGATCATGTAGGCTTATCTTCTTCTTCTCCTCCTCCTCCTCCTCCCCAGGAAGACATTATTGGGAATGCAGGTCAACCAGATGATGAAGAGTATATGCCTGCACGTACTATAAGATCCTCTCGATGGGCAAATGATGCCAATTCTCCAGCTGATGAAGGTCAACTTTCTGATGCATCTGTTGAAGTTAGATCACAAAAGCAGTCATCAAGTCCAGAGGCTGGGGAGCATCATAGAGAAGCTTCATTGGAGTCAAATGAAGATAGAGAAGGTTACAATGTTGGATCTTTAAGTGTGGATGGTGATTATGATTATCCTGACAATGATTTGGAAAGGAAGGACTACATGGAGATATATGATGATATCAAGAAAGATGGTGTTAGTCTAAGCCAATCAGAATCAGAATCTGATTCAGAGAATGAAGATACCACACCAGCTCCTCAAAGAAGTGTGAATATGCTACAAGGATGTAGAAGTGTCGATGAGTTTGAGAGATTAAACAAAATAGATGAAGGAACTTATGGGGTTGTGTACAGAGCCAAAGATAAAAAAACAGGAGAAGTTGTTGCTTTAAAGAAAGTCAAAATGGAGAAAGAGAGAGAAGGGTTTCCTTTGACTTCTCTAAGGGAAATAAACATTCTTCTTTCATTTCATCATCCTTCAATTGTGGATGTGAAGGAGGTGGTTGTTGGGAGCAATCTTGACAGCATTTTCATGGTTATGGAATACATGGAGCATGATCTAAAGGCATTGATGGAGACAATGAAACAGCCTTTTAGCCAGAGTGAAGTTAAATGCCTTATGCTTCAGTTATTAGAGGGAACACAATACCTTCATGACAATTGGGTTCTTCATCGTGATTTAAAGACTTCAAATTTACTTTTGAATAATCGTGGTGAGTTGAAGATTTGTGACTTTGGATTGGCTCGTCAATATGGGAGTCCTTTAAAACCCTACACTCATTTGGTGGTGACTCTTTGGTACAGGTAAGAAGCAGTATATGGTAATATTTCATTTCATTTTAAATGCAAATTTGTCTATTTTGCAACATCATGTGCATTTGTTACAATCTTTAATCGAATTCATGCATTAAAACTACACTTGGAATGTTTCTTTACCCCCACTAAGTCATGTATGGATACATAAGGTCTGTTTCTTTTTAGACTGAATCAACCATCTGAACGAGACTAAATGACCCTTTTACCCTTACTTTCAAAATTCATCACTTTTTAATTAACTATATTCATCATTTTGAAAAATTACCTAAATATAGCATTGCATTTTCATTTCCTTCTGAAAATCTTTCCAAAAATAGCATTGTATTTTTTAACTAACAAATATAGCATTGTATTTTCATTTTTTTGAAATACTACCAAATACTATAATATTGCATTTTATTTTATTTTTTTGAAAATCTTCCTAATTTTTGCATGGCACTTTCGTTATTTTTGAAAAACTACCCAACTATGGCATTGTGCTTTCAACCTTTTTTTTTTCTTAAATTACACAAATATAACATTGCATTCTCATTTTTCTTTTTTTGAGAAAAACCCAAATATAACATTGCTGATCTAGTGTTTCTAATCTCACAAAGATATACCATTGTATTTTCACTTTTTTTTTTGAAAATCTTCATAAATATAGCATTGCACTTTCATTTTTTTATAAAACCACCCAAATATAGCATTGTATTTTGAAAAACTACCCAAAATTCATCACTTATTAACAAAATTCAATAAACCATCTGCAAGGCTTTCTGGCTTAATTCATCAAGTAAGTCATAAAGAAACAGTGATGTATAGCTTTTCAGATTAAGTTGTCAACCCATTAAGTCAAATTTGGTTTCATAATCTTATTTGGTGTTTTAAACTTTAATAATAGGGCACCTGAACTTCTTTTGGGAATAAAAGAATATTCTACAGCAATTGACATGTGGTCATTGGGTTGCATCATGGCTGAACTTTTATCCAAACAACCATTATTCAATGGGAAAACAGAGTTTGACCAGCTTGACAAGGTAAGTTTGACCATATTTTATTACTATTTTAGCCTTGATAATATTAATAGTCTTTAGTTAGTGACTAAATGAGTAATGATTGCAGATATTCAAAATACTTGGGACACCAAATGAGACAATTTGGCCTGGTTTTTCTAAGCTTCCAGGGGTGAAGGTGAACTTTGTGAAGCATCAGTAAGTATCGAGTTTCTTGAATTGAGTATTTAATGTTAAATTAAATCTTTCAGATTTTCTTATTTTTGCCACTGTTTTCCCAGGCGTCCAGCTTTGGGTGATTTTCTGGTCTGCCTTTCTAGCTTCCATTGGTGACCTGACCAATTTAGTTATTCCAAAACTGCCCTTGGTTTTATTTACCATTTTCTCTTTTTCTTTTTTATTTTCTCAGGTATAATTTATTGAGGAGAAAATTCCCAGCAACATCTTTCACTGGATCCCCTGTCCTTTCTGATGCTGGCTTTGATTTGTTGAATAAACTTCTAACTTATGACCCCGAGAAGGTATTATTATTATTATTATTATTATATATTTTAATAATTAAAAAGTTCTATTTTTTTTGAAAATAAATAAAATTTGGGATTTTTTCAGAGGATAACAGCTGAAGCAGCTTTAAACCATGAATGGTTTCGGGAAGTTCCTCTTCCAAAGTCTAAAGATTTTATGCCAACTTTTCCAGCTCAGCATGCACAGGACAGGTAGCTATCTTATCTTAACTCTGGATTTTCACAATTTTATTAAAAAGACAAAAATGCCCTCTCACCTCTTTTTTTTGTAGGCGTGCGCGGAGGGTAATGAAGAGTCCAGATCCCTTAGAGGAGCAGCGTCGGAAAGAGCTTCAACAAGCTAAATTTGGTACAGGTGGTTTGTTTGGCTGATGAGGGTAAATTGGACATTTTAGAGCCCATGAACATGACACCCAATGGTTTAAGATATATTATTATTATTGTTATCATCCATCATGCTATGATGTTTTTTTTATATACCAGCACCAGGCATACATTATTTGGGTGAATGCATAGCATAGAGGTTGACTTCTTCTTTATGCAAGTTTGACTTTTTAGTGGAAGGTTATGTTTTCTGTTCTGTATGTAACATATATTTTAAGTTGTAAACAATAACAGTTTACAGATTTGGATTTATATAGTAGGGGAATTATTGTTATTGTGTGTTTCTTTTCTTAATCCACGTGTAGCATGGAGATGGAGTGCTAGCTAAAGCTTTTTCATTCATGGAGTATTTTTTTTGAAGGTCAGAGTAACAATAACAATTTTTAGTATAAAACATCCCTTTTGCCTCGTTGATGTTTTGGATGCCTTTTGCCTTTTGCATTTTTGCAGCTTGGAACTTAAAAAACATATTTTCGTCTATTTTTCCAATCTACAGGTACTTTTTGTCCCATTATGCTTAAAAAATATAATATATATATATATATATATATATATATATATATATATTTTCATATTCAAACTTCCATAGTGTCTTAAACATTTGCTCATTTTAATCTCTGTAAAGAGCTACATGATTTTTATTAAATTTTAGTTTTGTTTTCTTAAAATAGCTCTTAAATTACAATCTTATATGGGTCTTTGTTGGCTTTTAATAGCTTTTTATAATGTTCAAATCTTAAGTTATGTAAATCACGAAAATTTTGAGACATAATCAAGTAGTGCATAGAAAGAATATTAGAATTCTAACTTGTATTTATTATAATATGAAAATTTATTCTAAGTTATAGGCCAACTCCGAATGATCACTGAATTGAATGACTTATTCCTTTACCTTGATCACTGAATTTCGAAGGAGCCCATTGGTCCATCTTAATCTGGGAAAAAGCTATTAAGGGGTTGGATTGTTGTGAAAACATATGTTGATTACTTCTTTTGTACACTTTCTTTTTTCTGATTTAACATGGCATATATATATATATATATATATATATATATATATATATATATATATATATATATATATGTTCCTACCAAAATTAAAAGAAAGAGTTTGTTGTGTCTATATGTTATTGTTTTATTAGATTAAGACAAATATCAAAATTAAAAGAAAGAATTAGTTGTGTCTATATGTTATTGTTCTATACGATGGGAGCAAAAAGTTGGAGGATTTTTAATTTCATGTCTAAGTTAACATAAAAAGATATTTATTGCAACATTTTCTGATTGATATACCGTCTTAGTTGAATTATGCAGAGTTATTATCATGGGATAGTTTAAGATATGTTGGTAAAAGTTCTATGGTTTATAGTTTAATAAAAAAAAACCATTAAAAGAAACTGAGGACAAAAAAGTAGGGGATATGAAGACGTTGTAGACAAATGTTGACCATATTTTTTTGATTCCAGAAGCTCATATCATACATTTTACTCAAATAGCCAATGAAATATCACACTCAAGAAATAATCTAAGTTGATGTTAAATATACAAAGGGGTATAGAATTACATTGTTCAAGTCTTCATCAATTAAAATAAATAAACAATAAATGAATCGTTCAGTTTTATGGGAGTTTAACTCACAGGTTGTGTAGACCAAAAAAAGTTATTACAAGTCCATTGGGTTAAATAAAAGAAGATATTTATTTAATTTTGGTATACGAGAGAATAAAATGTACTTCTTGTTGAAACATTTGTTAGATACGAAAAGAAGATACATTTTGTATTATAACGTTCCCTCTGATAAAAAAAAAGGGATTAATGGTTATTGCTTCTTGAATAAAAAGAAGAGAAACCACCATGTGTGTTTTAAATAATAACGGGCCTAATCAGTTTTAATTTTGGTCACTATACTTTATGTGCGCTATATGTATCATGGGGGTGCATCTTCGATGGTTAAAACCGATTTTTTTTTTTTTTTTCCAAAAAAACCAGTTTTGTTTTTAGTTGTTTTTTAATAGTTATTTTTAATTGAACACTTTTAATCCGACAACTCTTCAAATTCACCATCATCTACTTCGTTCATTGTTGGTGATATCCTTTGTGCAACTGCTTTTTTATTATTAGGTGTACTATTTGATGGGTGGTAAAAACCCTCATTCAAGTGAAACACAATTGTATATCATCTCGATGTCGTCTAAGTAACTCTTTAAGAAAATGTATACTTCCATCGATCGAATAGAGGTTCGTCGTTTATTGTAAAACATAATATAAAAAAAACAAAGAAATTTTAAATATGATTTTGACTTAAAATGTGAGAGCGGAGACTTCGTTTGACCTAATTAGGGTTGTAAATGAACCGAACGAACACAAATGAATGTTTGCATGTTGGTTCGTTTAAGTTAGCCGAACAAACGAACGAACATGAACGGCTAAACAAACAAATTTTCTTGTTCATGTTTGTTCTTTTAATAAATTACATTGTTCATGTTCGTTCGTGTATGTTCGTGAACATGCTAAACAAGCATAAACAAACGAACATAAACGAACGAAGATAAACAAACATATAAGATCGTAATGTAATCAAACACAATTGCACATATATGAACATAAAAAGAACTTAAACGAACGAACATGAATGAACGTAAACGAGCAACATAAACTAACGTTCACGAACATAATTGAACGAACGAGACCATTGTTTATGTTCGTTCGTTTAACTAAACGAACGAGAAGTTGTGTTCATGTTCGCTCATTTATTAAATAAACGAATATAAATGAATTTCCCGTCGAACGGTTCACAAACAGTTCATTGAATGTTCGGTTCGTTTATAGCCCTAGACCTAATAATATTTGTATTATTTGATTTTAATTGATATTTAGAACAAAACATTTTATTTTTGCGATGATGACCTCAATTATGATTTTTTAAGTTTAATTTGGAATTTTATATTGTTTTTATGACAAATATAATATAATTATTATTTTATTCCGCCTCGAGTTTATGCCTCGGTTTACCTCGAGGCTTAAGCCTCTTATGAGGTGAAGGAAAAATTCCCTATTTTTAAACCTTCCAGCATACAACAATACTCTGCGCCTGCGGTAAATCTCAACTATGCAAATTTATTAACTCTTACAACATTGATTAAACAATAATCAACATATTTTATCGTATACATAATACAATAATATCCACATATATAGATATCAATTATCTAGGAGAGAAGCATGATTACTCATCTTGAGATGTTTTTAGCGTATGGATTTCTAGTCTTTGAAGTTTCGCATTGAGATGTTTTAAGTGTATGGATTTCTAGTCCTTGAAGTTTCGCATCTGCTCTCGTTTCGAAAATTGTCAAATAATACATCAACTTAAATATCATAACTAAAGATAAAACTCATTTATGCATAATCGAATTACAACATCTTCATCATACTCATACGGTTTAATCACTTCATCAAAATTAATTATACTCCACATATAACTTATCTACATGTCTTAATTTATCAAGATATACATTCAATTTCACTTTATCATAATTTACCCAAATTATGGTTTATCACCACTATTCTAAATTGTAAGAGATTAGCCATACTTTTAACATATAATACTTGAAACAAGATCATTAGGATTATTACAACATTGTCATCAAACTTTCTTTCCATGAAAGCATACAAGAAAAAGGATTTACCACTTCTCAAATTCCACCATGAAACATCACATAAGCTTGATGAGAGGATGATATTACATATAATCCATGTGATGGTGTTTGATTCTTGATTTCTTGTACCTAGCTTCTCATCTAAGTGTTTTGATGGAATATGTGCATATAAACAAGAGCAATAAAGGAAATGAAAGCAAACAACCAAAATATATATTCCACAAGAGGATCAAAGGTTCAAACAATCAATTGCAACTTAAAAAAAACACGAGTAAAAGAAACATACAAACATACCCATGCAATTTTTTTTTTCTCTCTTGCTAGTTTTGACGAATGTGTAGAACCCAAACTAAGATTTATCTCTCTTAGTCTCACCCAAGAAGCATATCAACAACCACTTGACATCCTTGAATAATGAACACCTTGAACACTAAACCCTAGATGATTAGGATTTCTGATCTTTAGACGCATAGGGTAAGATGAAGGAATGCGGTGTGTACTCGGAGTAGATTGAGATTAAAGATAAGGTAAGAGGCACAAGCAAATGTCAATTTTGGGATTAGCCTCATGCCCGGTTTAGGAATATAGGGGAGGATATGTTTCCCACTTGGATAATTACTTGGTCACTAAGTAATTACCCCTAAGATTTTAACTTCAAATCTTACACTCTAAACCCTTTTAGATTTATAGGTTTCCATTAATTTGTTAACCATTAATAAAGTAACAAATTAGATCCTCATAAATTCTCTCATGTTAATTATTGATTAAATTTGTTCTTGCATGTAACTATGACGATTGGGAAATTTCCGTCATCGACCGTCATTAGAGATTAGCATCGACAAATGATGATAATAGAGCTTTTCATATTTCAGGAAAAATATGATCAGTTAGATAATAATATAATAATAGGGTAAAAAATGAGTGACCAAAAAGTTACACCACTTTTAATAATGGTCAGTGTACTTGGAAAGTACATAACAAAGTGGTCCCAATGATATAAACTTTGTGAAAATATGACTCCGATCGAAGGAGTTATGATTTTATAAAAAGTAAAAATCAATCATGTTAATAATGCTATTAACGTCAAAATGGTACAAAAAAATCGGCTGAGTTTTGGCTAACGTCATTAAAAGGAAAATCGTAGTACTCCGAGAGATAAGAACTTTAAAAAGAAAAAGGTCAAAAACGGAGTTCGTATAAAGAAGATACGATTTTTAGAAAAATATAAAATACAAGTTAAAAGTAAAGTAAATATTTAGCAACGCAACCTTAAGGAAAGTTGTAGTACCAGTAGAGAGCTACACACACACACACACACATATATAT